GTGCCACTGGCTTTGGCGTCCTCTCTAAACGCTTGCCCATGGTCTCCAACAAATACCACCAGCGTCTCGTTTGAGACTCCAAAGTCATCGAGCAATTGCATCAGCTCGCCTACCCAGGCGTCGTTCCAGCGAATCGTGTTCAAATAATTGTTCATGTCTTCATGCGAAGTCGTAAGTCCCCCGCGCGCACTACCCATGTACTCCGTCTTGTCGAACCACGACGGGGTGCTCCAAGGATGATGTGTCGTGCTGGTGAAATGAGAGAGGAACATGCGTTGATTTCTCTCTATCGCCTTCTTCATGTAGTCCTTTATATGAGATTTTATCGCCGTTTCAGCATATCCGAAATAGTTGACTTCTTCTTCATCCACCCCACCGTTTGCAATTTGGTCGTCGATTTGCTCTCTAGTCACGATGTGCTCGAATCCAATCATCTCGTCCATGTCGTTTTGGTCGTCAAACTCATCGTCGATGGACTGGAAAAAGGCGGGATACCATTTATGGTCACGATAGTCCGAGGTGTTGGGTGGTCCATTCTTTAGCATATTGAATAATTTGAATATTTGCGGCAAGCAAGGCTGATAGCTCTGGAGCTTCGATTCCTCGCACCAGTCCACCGGCATGGGCCAGACGCCGCAGTGTATCGCCGCTAGGCTCTTGATGGATGAGCTGCAAGTAGTGTGCGTCCCGACGACATTCAAGCCCCCTAGGCCAGCTTCTGTCCTGTCGTGCCACTCATTGGACACCGGTGAAATTCGTCTTCCGTCAGCTGTATGAAAACCTCCCGACACTCCGGTTACTCTTTCCGCGTTGACAGTGAGGCGGGCCAGCTGAAGATTGACATCATCATACTTCGACTCACCATGTGACTGCAAAACCATTTTGTGAAAGTTGGAGTCTTCTTGAAGGGGAAACAACTCCTGCCGCATACTTTCCATCTGAATAAGGACAACATGCCTTATATTGACAGACTCTAACCCCAGCGTGTTTCTTAACGCCGGCAAGATGTTTCCATGGAGGTTGTTGATCTTCAAGGGGTCATTTACCGGGTTATAAAAGTGTTGGCTCTCTGAGGCCAGATCTGGAGATTCTGCAAGCTCGTCATTCATTGTATCGTCCGATGTGCCGCCAGACGTCGGTTTTGATTGTGGTTCCCAACGATGGAACCCTGAAGGCGGCGACTGGGGCAGCCACTCCGGAACTCTGCTTCTGTATTTGCTGACGAACTCGTTGTCCGTTCCGGGAGCCCAGCCCTTGAAGTAACCATCTGGGGATTCCCACTTCAGCCTTGTCACAAGGTCGGGCAGTGGCCACGTAACATCCGGGTGGTCTGTCGCCCCTAGTATACAAGAGCGCATGACAGATAGTAGAGACAGCGGCAATGTCGCTGAAGCATGACGGTAGGGAAGATTAGGTTGAAGAAAGACGCACACTAAACAACCCAGAAGCTGAGTAGCAATTAGACACCAACAAAGGAGCCGACTCACAGTCATGTAACCAGCCGAATAAGAGCAGCTGGCTGCTACACACTGTTCTTTTCCGGCATAAAGCTCATCGAAACCGATGTAATCGGCAATCTGTTTATCTACCGTGGGAAGAAGATTATTTCGCCCCGCCAGCTTTTTCGAAAAGTACTTTCCCGGCGTGAGCTGAAGCACTGGTGGATGGGCCGTTTAGCGAGGCGGATTAAAGAGGAGTTCAGAAACCAGCCAACTTACTTAAATCCAGCTGAGCGCGTGCGTAGTGCAAGACTGCTCCTACAGCTCGGTGAAGCAGATCCTGGATAAAAATGGAAACCACAATTATCGCGGTACAAGCTATCAACGCATTGCCCGAGCCGCTGGACGCTACCTTTCTAGCGCCAGCGTCGAAGGCAACCGAGACAGCATCGGCCCATCGGATTTCCCCTCCCGTCTCACAGAAGAAGCTGACAAGTGCTGCGGTGGCGAAACATGTTGAAATGCTGTTGGTGATGGTTCTTTCGTCAGTATCTAGATAAAAGAACAGCTTCGTGGAAATGTGCTATCGAACTCATATTGGTTGTGTTTGAGGGAATATGTGGATGGAAAGGAGGGGATCCGTACCTGATAAGGCACGAAGCAACGATACTCAGCAGAGAACATCGTCCTCGTCTATTTTGCAAAAGAGACCACACGAGGAGCAGGACAAGGACATCGGGGATAAGAAACACAGGAAGGCAAAGAAGGAAAGCAGCCAACGAAAAAGAGTGGGCATTAACGTGGAGATGCACTATTTTTGCCACGACGATAGCATTGAAAAAGACGGAGAAGACGAGACGACGCGCCGCCGGCAACATAATGAAATGTGTAGCATGATACTGTGAACGAGAGTAGTTTCTGCGGTTCGGATCTACGAGAAGTTAGATTTCATTTGTATTAGTTTCCGAAGCGTGCGGGTTGCACGGCGACTTATTGGAAATCATAGACACGTAAAAGTTTCCGGTTTCAGCCCGCATCTTTCGCAGCAACCTCTTTCAGACGTCTGGCTCATGAGTCTGTCACAACCGAAACTATTGGGGCATATTGCCCGATGCGGTGGGTTGGCATGATTTGCTTGGCGTCGGGGCGTTTTAATAGTTCCTCCCGCTGAAGAGGGCGCATTCCCTCGACCAAGACATAAGAGGCGGATGATCGATGGTGGACCCCTCCCTTCCCGTTTCCCTCGTCTCTTTTCCATATATGGTGGCGGATAGGTACACTCAGATTCATCAGGGACGGACGGCCGAGACTTGCGCCCCAGGAGCGCCACAGTCACCAACACGAGAGCCTTGTTTCAACATGTTGAAGGTTAAGCCTCTCACCATTCAACGCCGTATCAGCCTGTAGTGCTCTACTTGGCGGCAGCTGGCTCGCTGCTGATCCAGAAGCCATGGTGTTGTGTCAATTTTGTGCGGTTGAACCACTCGGAGTAGTTGAGAAGACTCAGAAAAGATCGACATGCCTTGGCATGGACAGTTTCAATGGTTCATTTTGCAACAGCTAGCTGCTCGAATGTGAGGGTGAGCAGGATGCCAGATGCGATTCCAACCCCTGTGCGAGGAACATTGTTCTGTCTGTCAGGCCTAGGCAGGGGTGACGTGAAATCACCCAGTGCATTACCTAGCTATGACAACTTCTTCAACATTGCCTAAGAGTAGCACCGTACACAAATACCTTGGGCACATCGGCTGCCGCCGCGGCATACCTTTACCAACCATTCCTTGGATTGTGAGACAAGGGAGACAAATGGGTAACGCGTTCGGGGCCCAATGAACCAAGGCATTGTCGCAAGTCTACTTTCTCGGTGGCGCGAATTTTCTTTACAGTTGGCGGGATCAAGTTGTGCTCAACGTCGCGCAAACGCTCCGAACCGTTGAGATCGAGGGCCGATACCAAGGGTGTCTTTGTTGTACCGTGTACGGAATTCGACTGGGTTCCAGCTCGTGTTTTGAACCCATAAGCCGGTTTACTTCAACTGCAAGGAGTCAAGTCTTGGTTGCTCAAGTCGTGATGCAACCAAGACATGGCGCGTGAACGATTGCCGCCTTGGGTCTAGCCAGATAAAAGTGGGGCCCGGCCGCCAATCAGCTTCTGGCAAACGTGAACCGTGCCGCCCGTTGCTAAAACTTACGTGCCACCAGTGCGGAGGACCGGAGGTACGGGTCGTTGAATGTGTCAAGATTCAAGAATCAAGAGTGCCAACCGAGAGCAGTCGCCCCTCGGTTAAATAAATAATGTTGAAAAACTGCAAGAATGTCATCCAGACCACCGAATCTGCCCACTAATGGCAGACAACGAATGACCCTAGGTTCCTGCACCCTCTAGCGCAAATTTCGTTACGATCACGGTACATGCTCTTGTTCATGGGCGAGCAGTGCTACCAATACTTTGCATAGATAGAAAGGCTTAAGCTGACATAATTTATTTGGGCATTTACCGGTTTACCAGTTGCGGTCCAAATTATACTCGCAAGTCGAGGTTCCTACTCTGGCATCATCGCGTCCGCAGGAGGATCATATCTTGCTGGCGTGATTCGCTTTAGCACCCTCTAGCTTCTTAGAAAATATAAGAAATAGAACTAGGAAGAGTAGTGCGTTTGCGGAGCCCAAACTTGAAGCTGGCCTAGCAGAGAACCTAACATGGTTTGATTTCGCGTACGCTATCCGTCTCTCCTGCCCGTGGTGCCTGAAGAGATGTTTATAGAGAAGGACCTACTAGAGTAAGCTTTGTAATGTATTCATTATGCATAGCTAATACTATTAGTAAGTCAGTTGTGTCTTACAAACGGTCCGATAGCAGTGCACAAAGGCAAAGCTCTTTGTCTCTCTGTTCTCAGCCATAGAATCCTTGTACCTATTAACCCTGACATGGTCAACGTAGGGGATATGAGTGTTCTTATTGTTCGCAGGGAACAGGATTGTACTCCAATATTATTAAATCTATGACTCTATCCCATTTGTTAATCGTTTTGGGATATCTTTTTGGCAGTCTCAACAACAGACTTACTTTGGAAAGAAGCTAGTCAAAGATATGATACAGCCGAGAGCGGGTATGAAAAGGCTGACTATGTTTTGTCACCGCCAACCAGACATTGATTCCAGCCTTTTTATCTTTCTGTTAAGAGTAACGAAGGCTATAGTAAAGCTGTGCAGATTACCAGATTGTCAAGCAATGCATAGACACTTTGAGCTACGGTCGTCTATACCAGCATTTTGCTATAGGAGTAGTAAAGCCCGAGCTGAACGCATTACACCTCTGACAGTTCATTTTAGCATGCTAGAGATGAAGCCGGACAAATCTACGGGAAACGATGCTAATTATTATATTTTTGCAGCATCAGAATGGACAGGCGCATCGGCGCCAGAACAAGCGCCGAGGTACCAATTAGCTCAGCATTTGTACTACATTTGCTCTATTTATATTTTCAAGCTGTTGAATGTAACCCCCTCAATTCTAACCTCTCCTCAAACCCCACACGCACTTTGAAAACCCGATCAAAACATGGCCATTCCCATAAGAGTAGCGGCTTGTCATGTGTCGTCTATTTTCCTATCAGCTAAGAAGACAACCCAAAAGGCCATTGGACTGATTGAACAAGCCGCGGCACGGAGAGCCAACCTGGTCGTCTTCCCCGAGACATTCATACCTGCATTTCCTGTGTGGAGTGCTATTCGTCCTCCAACTGCCAATCATGACCTTTTTAAGCGCATGGCGACGGAGTCGATATATGCTAATGGAGAGGAGATTCAGGATATATGCACAGCTGCAAAGGAGTTCAACGTCATGGTGAGCCTTGGCTTTTCAGAAAAGGTTGACTTTAGTAGTGCCACGCTATTCAACTCCAATCTCTTCATTAGCAGCCAGGGTGAGCCTCTTATTCATCATCGGAAGTTGGTACCGACCTTTTTTGAGAAACTCACCTGGGCCCCAGGCGATGGTCATGGTCTACGAGTTGCGGAAACACCGTTTGGAAAAATTGGCAACCTCATCTGTGGCGAGAACACAAACCCGCTCGCCAGATACGCCCTCATGGCCCAAGGCGAACAAATTCACATATCGACGTGGCCAGCGATATGGCCCACCCGGCTTGAGCTCTCACAAGATGTGAAGGATGTGACGGGTCCAACTACATCGTGCAGCGCAAACTATGACAACGTTGCAGCCAATCGAACCCGTGCTGCTGGCCATTGTTTTGAGGCTAAATGTTTTGGTGTCCTCTGCTGTGGCGTGCTAGGAAAAGATGCGATTGAGGAAATTTCCGGCGGCTCATCGCATTTGAGAAATGTATTGGAGCACTCCCAGCGCGGCGCTACCATGTTTTTGGACCCTACAGGAGCGCAGTTGCCAGGCTTTACCGTCAACGATGAGACACAGATCCAAGAACCTGCTCCTTTTTTGCAGGATGTTGAGGGAATCTTATACGCAGACATGAACGTGGAGGACTGCATTGAAGGAAAACAATACCATGACATTGTGGGCGGCTACCAACGACTAGATGTGTTTGACTTTAAGGTCAATAGGGCACGCCCATGTCCAGCTACGTTTGTGAGCCAAAACGATACAAATTCGATTCAAGATTAAGAGGGAAACACTAAGGATATTAGGCTAGAAGACGGATTAAGAGTATTCCATTGTGTTTTATTAAGCCTGGCTTATCTCTCATCCGGAATTTCTATACCGCATCATAGAATAATGCACTTGTCCTTTTTTCTAGCAGGTCTGTCTTGGTGTTGGATAGCACAAGTAGCAGCCACTTCAAACACTTTTTGTACCCCCTCGCCACTCAGGGCTGAGCACTCGAGGTAAGCGACAGCTTTGAGCATTTTTCGAATCTTCTCAATCTATTGGCAGGATCTGTTAGCAAAGGCTGCATATATATGCAATCCATGTGACGGCTCCGAATCCTTGTGTGCCAGTTGCCAGACAACCTCAACGTTACGCTCTTTGATCAAAGATGCTCAAGTTACCTTTTTAGGGGTTGTAAATGTACTTGTTTGCGCCAAGTTGCTGGTAATATTAGAGCTATATTGCTGGTTCCGCAGATCCTGCTTGCAGCCGACTAAAATAATAGGTACATCGGGGCAGTATTGACAGACTTCGCGATGCCACTCAAGTACAAGAAGAGTAGTTAGCAGTTGCCTCATTATTTTTTAGTACCACCTATATATCATTACCTTGTCCACTACATTAGAAAGAGAAAAAGCGTTGTTTAGAGCAAAGCAGACCAAAATAATGTCGGCATTAGGGTATGAATGGATACGGAAGCGGTCATAATCTTCTTGGCCTGCTGTATCCCATAGAGCCAGCTCGACAGAGGTGTCATCAACTTGAAATTGTTGAACATGGCTCTCAAACACAGTCGGGATATATGCCTTGGACAAGATTAGTACACTCGGGGATTGGCAAAAGTTGTTAAAATTGTTAGGACGTAGACGCTATGTGGCCGATGTCGATTGAAAGTCTATTCGAGAGGCACTAGGATACTTGCTAGAATGATCAGCACAATCTTACCTCGGGAAATACACCCCTACAGAAGACACTACATTTATCTTAGTATAAATAACGCGTTGGATGTAAAAGTGAAGAGGCCCGTAGTCCAGAATGCTTGGGGTGGGGTCTGGTAAATTTTGCTTAAAGCAGGAAAACTCACGTCAACAGGCAGGTCTTCCCACAACCGCCATCACCAACGATGACGAGCTTTCGATAAGCGCTCTTGCCTTCCTTCATTCAGAATATTGGGAGGAATCGAGCTAGCAGTTGAAAAGGGGCGCCCCACTTTTGTCTGAGAAGAGCAGGTCAAGTATTAGCTGACGGATAAAACAGACTTGACCCCGAGCTAGAGTAGTGGAGGACCTCCTACAGATGGAGATCGTATTGCGATATATATGCGTTGTTCACGCCACCCCACTTCCCAGCCCCTCCATTCCTGTCACACTTTAGAGGGCACTAATTATAATGATAATATATATATACAAGTTTATGTTTAGCTATAAAAGAGAGAATTATATGCGCTCTTTTTATAAGTGCGCTTATTATTAGAGTTATTTACTTATAATTAAGAGTTTACTCTTATTTAATTATACGTACGTAATTTATACCTATAATAAGTAACCTATTTTAATATACCTCTTAATTAAGCCTACTATTAAGGCTATTATAAGCTCTCTTTTTCTTATTTAAATGCTTAATTAAGCGTTAAAGCTATAATTATAAGCTTAATTATATATACCTTATCTTTTCTTAGCGTTTTAATTAATATAATCTTTTATTAATTAAGAGTTAACTTATTAACCTTTTATTTATTAAGGTAAGTTAAATATAAGTTATACGTTCTTATTAATTATACTTATTTTACTTTTATACGCGTAGCTTATTAGTATTATTAGCTTCTTTTTTCTTTATTATATATTACTTCTTTAATTATAATTATATTTTAATTAATATTATACTAGTTTAAAGGCACGCGTTACCTTAAAGTTATTAAAGTATATAAGACGTGTTAAATACCCTTTAATAACGTTTATTAAACTCTTATTACTTACTTTTAAAGGCTTTTAATATAAAGCCTTCTTCTCTTAATAA